AATGTCAAAAAAGGAATGTCAAAAATGTATTTTAGATAATGAGTTCAAGATACTCGGAAGTGTAATTAAAATTGAGTTTCAAATACTCTCGATCAAAAGTATTTGCAGGGTACCAAGATACTTCAAATAGTATTTAAGATACAGTATCTTGAGTAGAGTATTTCAGAGAGGCAAAAGTCTGAAAAAATATGCTACAATGCAGTTGAATTATGTAAATAATGTCTTTGTTGCGAAGACTGACGCAAGCAGTTAGCCATGCCAGACACGTGCACCACCGTTCTCACGACTGACTAGTTTTGACAGGCCACTAGCTCGTGATAAAGCTTAAACCTACCTTGAAACCGTAACATAGAGTTCTTCGGCTATCCACGAGATTGTGGAACATCATTCTCCGCACTAAAATTAATTTCTTGACGGCGCTTGGAGACCATCGATTACTGGTGATCGATGGCCTATGTGCGTGGCCAGGAAAGAGATAAGGGTGTTAGTAATTTAATCTGTATACGGTTCAACCTAAAGTTGGAAAAACGAAAAACATGGCAAAGACGTTATTTTGCGCACTAGCAGAGAGTGGTTCCTGCAGGGTATGGGAAAATCCGCCACACTGGTTGCGCGAGTGCATACGGTGGGGAATACGTCGAGAAGATGGGCATATCCACCGACGTCTAAAGCAGGGAACAGATGAGCGTCAAAAATATAGCATCAGCCCATGGAATGGTGACGTGGACCTATGCCAAGTCGGCACGTCACCGCATTCGTGCAAGTAGCTATGGAAACTGCAGCGCGGCGACCGTTTTTGTCGCTCATGTGTTCCTCGCCCTACGTCTGGACACGATCGCGAGTCCGCGGGGTAACGAACCGTTGCGCCGCCTGTTTGGCACGCACGCTAACTCGCGGTCGTGTCGTTCACGGGACGAAAACGGCAGGGAGGGGCTTCAGTAGTCCCGCCTCCAGCGCTAGGGCGTCCACACGGGGAATCGGCAAAGAGCGCACACTATTGCAATGGTATATGGTGCCTGGAACGCGTCCTCGGGTGGTTTGTTTACCGCGTCCAAAAAAGCGTTCCCTCGATTTCCGCCTGATGACGTCGTAGAAGCGTCATACTTTCGCATGTCGCGATCCTAGCGGCGTCCCAACAGCTGCGGTGTACGTGGCAGACGCCTATTCTGCTGCAGGTCGCTCCCCACTGTGACAGTCCACGGAAGCTTCGGCAGTCGGAAGTTGGAACGCCGTGACGACAGCGACACTCGCGTTCGGTTGTGCGTCTCCCAGCTTCTCGTTAGCACTTGTACGATTAACCGCCAGGATCGCGACATGCAACAGCATGACACTCCGGCTTCTGTGACGTCATTTGTTGCCGCTTCGGAAGCACTTTTGATGTATTGGCAGCATAGGACGCTAAACACGCCAGTCGGAGGCGCGCTTCATGATGGGACCATGCTATTGCCGGCGAGGTGTTTCGGTGGCGCCTTCTTATGGCGCATATCCGTGACGTCACCGCCAGACCTACACTCTAAAAAAGGGTGTCGTCTTACGCCCTTTTGTCCTATATAATGCGCCCCAAAACTTCAGTTCGACGTACAGCGCACTGACGTCAAACAGACGGTCCCAACTTCTAGGAGGGACTTGACGACGATGACGATATAACTTATTACGCAACCAAAGTACGTTTCAAAGACCATAAAAAAAAATTCACTAAATGAAAAAAAAAACTTTTTAAATACAACAACTTTTTTTTTTTTTTTTTTTTTTTTTGTAGTCAGTTACACGTACAGTTTCCGGCGATATGAAAGACCCACTGGGAGCGCGTGGCCGAGGCAGTGGCTGGCGGGGGCGCTACGAGCGCTCCGGGCAATTCCATTCTGCTTCGAGGGGAGGACGCTCACTCGGGGCTCAGCACAAACTGATAAGCGCGCGCTTTATCTGAGCCCCGAGTGAGCGTCCTCCCCTCGAAGCAGAACGGAACTGCCCGGAGCGCTCGCAGCGCCCCCGCCAGCCACCGCATCGGCCACGCGCTCCCAGTGGGTCTTTCATATCGCCGGAGACTGTACAATTGGTATTTTAATAAGTTGTACCACTCGGCTATCAAGCCGCCCATGAAAGTTTATGCCATCGGTTCGACTCCAGTGCGCGCTGTACGTCGAACTGAATTTTTGGGGTGGGACAAGGGGTGTAGAAACTAGGAACATACCTTTTTTTTTCTTTTTTTTCATTAGAGTGTACAGTTGCTAACGACAAGTTTCATGGTGTGTGTCGAAATCACGTTGGAGGTTTTGCCATCGTCGAGTTCTCAAGCCAACACCGTCAAAGTACACAGTCTGGCATTACTCTTATTTTCATCAAATACAGAAAAAAAGCACCCTGTTCTCGAGACGTCACAGTGAGCGTTTGACCATTCGTGAAAGGCCGACCTCGGCGACCGGTTTTTGTCGCGCACGTCTCCAATAGGGTTGAGCTGGGCATCCGAGAGAGATGCCCCGCCGAGTTCTCATCCTGCCAGGCATCTCCTCAGGCCAGCACCATTTTTGGCGTAGTTGCGTATGGTGCGTGCCTTGCTTGCTTTCCGAAGTGACAAATGTCCGCGTGCCCGGCTGTGAAGATCGCTCGCTAGGGCTGTGATTTTGTAAAACATTGAACCGGTGTCGCTTTGAAAACCGCGCGCGGCGCCACTAGCGGAGGGGCTGGCGTTCGACCATGAGACTCTGGCGTCTTTCCGCGTGCGAGGCTGTGGCCGTGGAAGCGCGCAAGGACGGGTCTTTGGTTCTCCAAGCCGCGAGGGTGAGGGTGACTTTGCGCGAGGGCTGGGCAGACCTAAAAGAAATGTAATCTAGCTGTTCTCCGCTTTTCCCCGTCTTGTAGAATATGCAACCACTGCACTTTTTCACAAAATAGACGAGACATTAATATCCTGAAATTAATCTACCACGAATCCGTTCACTTTTTAGAACAAAAATCAAGACTATTTCATTCGTGATACAAGACACATCAATTTCGCTACAATCATTTTCCACAAGGACGCCATTCCCAGACAAATTCTTTCCCGCAAAGCTAATATCAGAAATAGGTTCCTTTTTTTATTATTATTATTATTGTTTGTCTGGAATTTTGATGTTGTTCATGTAAATTTATTTTGTTTCTAAAAAGAAATTAAGAAATTCAAAATGTATAATATGCTGAACAAGAGCAAAATGCGGTGCTCTACTGCGCTATTCGGAGAGGTGAGCTTCGTTTCATTCACTTCTTTCGTCAATTACGCCTGGCATCTTGTGCAGGCATATCAAAATACGAAGGAAACAAACGAAAACTTGTATGTGTGCTCGCACACGCACAGAGACTGCCAGTGGAGTGACTTGAGATACGAGTGAGGTCGACCTAACGTCGGTCACTATATATACGTTTTTTGTTGTTTTTTTCTTACACGAACTTGCCGCTTTTTTATGAGACTATGCTACCGCCTTGCGCACTTTAAAAGGCCCCTGACAAGCCCCCCCCCCCCCACCCCCCCCCCAAAAAAAAAAAAATTTTTTTTCTTGTATGTTAGGCGAAAAAATGGTATATCAGGATAGCACCAAAGGATTGTTTCACTTTAAAGTTGCGTCGTTTTTTTTTTGTTTTTTTTTCCTAAAGAATAGAATAACGAAGTTAATTCGAAGTACCGCCAATGCCCTGTGACGTAACTATGTGCCGCAAGATGTCGGGGCGGTCAGAAGGGAGGCATCGCCGGAAGTCATGTGAGTTGTATCACTCCTCGTGCTTACTGCGACCGCGTCTAATATCTTTTTTTTATATATATACTCTTGTCATTCTGCGCACCTCCGCGAGCAATCCAAGCATACAAGGTTTTTTTCTATTTGCTTTTCATCGCCTAATGTTTGCTGTAACTGTAGGAGAGGAGTCAGTGAACCTAGTAAACAAGTTCTGCTATTGTTCTAGACAAAACGCGTACTTTAAGTTTATGCTCGACATTTACTTGTACTTGGTACACTCACCAGTTCGTATTCTCTAGACGGCAAACATCTTCAGCCTGGAGAGTATCCGACGATTCGACGACCTCGTTATCTGAACCTTCAGCAGTGCGATCGGGCGTGTCGTATGCTACACATCCTAACTTCTGCGAGCGTTCCATTTTTTTTCTCTTTTCTTTTTTTTCAAAGCTCGATAGCTTGTTTTCTGCTTAGTATAGCTCTGTACTATCGGACCGATTGCATGCACTCGTACGCTGGCTTGTACTCGCAACGCTTTCATCATTGACCTCCATCACGTCGATCTACTGAGCCTTCGTCCACAACTTTTACGGCGTGCAATCTAACCCACGGTGCAGTGGTAAAAAGCTAGTGGAACTGAAACTTCGTTTTCTACAATCTCTCATGAAGAAGACAAAAAAAAAAAAAAAAGTCTTAAGCACCGTGCCTAAGACTTTTTTTTTTTTTGTCTTTGTTTTGTGGAAAGCACGAGGAGTGACACTCACGTGACTGCCGGCGAACACAATGTAGGGATGTAGGTCGATTACTCCCTTCTGACCGCCCCGACACCTTGCGGTACACTGTTACGTCACAGGGCACTAACAAACACTTTGAATTTTTTTTTTTTTTTTTTTTTTTTGGGGGGGGGGGGGGGGGGGGGGCGTGTCAGAGGCTCTTTAGCTGCAAAAGAAGAAACCCCTTATCTTAAACAACCCACGAACCGCGCTCAAATTCAAAACCAAAATTTTACGTCGCTAATTTTTTTTTTTTTTTTTTTGCTTTTGGTGCAGTTGAAATATGTTTGATACTTTTTTTTAGAACGGGCCTCAGAAGCAGGGGCGACAGCGGCACCTTGTGCACGAAGCGTTAACTTCCACCACATTATCACCTTGAACGGAGTTAAGCAGCCTGCAAATGTGAGCGGGTTCTGAGCTTACGCTCCGAACTGCGCACTCAAATATGATGTCCAGTGAATATCCCACTCTCGGCTGTCGTATGGTTATGTAACGCGGCAAGGCATGTGCCTCTTCTGCGCAGGCTGTCGGCGGCAGGTCTTCCCCCGGAGCTGCTGCCGGACGTGGCCCCACCGTGCCGTCGCGCGGGCACCCTGAACGGGGCCTGGTACGGCGTCCCGTCCGGCACCCCCGTCCACGTGGCGCTGGGGGACATGCAGTGCTCCGTGCTGTCGGCCGCCGTAGCCGCCGAGACCGACGCCGGTGAGCCGCAATTCTGCGAGCATCTTTTTAGAAGCGACCGGGACAATCGCCTGTCAGAACGGCGGCGTGAACGCTGCCATGTTGCGGGTTGCGAATCCTGGAAACCGTAAAGTTGTTGCCTGTCGTTCGACGTCACGGGTGACTTTTTTGCAGTTTCCACTGGCCGCATTCGGCCGGGCGGAATTCCTCTTCTTCGCCCCGTCGCCTCGCCGACGCGTTAAAGGTCACTCCACAAGTGTTGGAGAGCTCCTCTCTTTTCGCGTCGCGCCATATTCAGCACCTATGTTTGCGTG